CAGCCGGCCTCAGAAAGTGCCTGGGATCTCCCAGCTGAGGGGCTGCTGCAGCACCAGAGCACCCACGGCCCGGCCCGGGCGGCCCCAGCCTTTGGCCGCTGACTCCTGTCAGATGCCCAGGATCTGGGAGCGCACACACTGACGTGCTTTCACAGAGATCGAGCAAGATCCACAGAGAAGTTTACATTTGTCAGCTCCTAATCCCCTGCTGAATTCATCACATCCCTCTTTTTCAAAACTTTTACTGATACCTGACAAAGAACTTGGTCTGTTGGGGACAAAGACATGAGCACAACAATGTGTCCTGACCAAGGCTGCCACTAGGTCCAACCTCCCTGGTCCCCCATGACTGCCTCAGCCAGGTCCCATAAAATGGACCCCCCTTTCAAGCCACTAAGGCGGGCGCCTCAGGGGCTCAGTGCCCCCCACCCCCACCCCCCACCAACGGCTAGTCTTTGCCCTGAGCCTTGCGCTATCAGGAGCTCTGGCTAATGGCTTCCTGAGGACATTTGCCACCTGGCTGTGTGACCTCCATTCAAAATACGTGCCCTGATTCCCTTCCACCTTCAGTATCCAAACTAGGAAGGGCATTTAAGGACTTTGACTCGGATCCAGAGAAATGTTTTAAGGGTATGAAGCCCCCTGAGAGGATGAGTCAGCCTGGGGACATCCCAAGGCGCTGCTCTCCTGCCCTGCTCCAGGATGACAGTGTTCCTCAAAGACAACCCAAAAGTCAGTGGCTTCCCAAAGGAGCCACCCGTGGGACCACACCAGGCCCAGAGCAACGTCTTGCTTGGCGCTTCCGGCTAGGGCTCTGGCATTCTTCAGGCAGGGACTCTAAGAAAGGGCAAAAAGGAGGGGCTAGAGCTTCATTCCTCCCCCCCTTAAGAAACATTCCTGAGACTGCAGGGGGCCTACTGACACCCAGCTGGTGCACAGAATGCTCCCTAACGAATCCCCAACCGCCCATTTGAAATTCTAGGCCCTCCAGTGACATTTTAGAGATCAGGCCCCTCCCCTAACCCCCACTGATGTTTTACGTTTGCTGAATCGATGGAGAAAGGAACATGCAAAAACAGGGAACCACGTACGTCCATTGTATCTGTTTACACGGGGCCCCGGATAACCCACATCGAAATGTGGCCTTCGAAATACCAACAAGTCAAAATCTTTGTGGTTTCTTAGGACACAGACATCACTTCTACTCCCTGTCGGACAGGAGCATGGAAAAACAGCAGTATTGTGTGTTTTGTAGCCCTAGTAAAATGTCAAGCTAGAAGCCAATGTAAAGGTGCCGAGCGGATACAAATCTGGGTGGCCACCTTTCAGCAGAGGTCTGGTGGGACTTCACACATGCACTTCAAATTCCAAGAATGCCACTCCTAGGAAGTTAAGTATCCCTTTTGACTTCAAAACTAGACCCAAAGAAAAGACTGTCTTTACCCAGCAGCCCCACTGAAGGCTCATAAAACACAGCACTCAGGAGTTCCAGCTTCATTTCCTTTCTCCGGCTACAAAAATGCAGATGAGGCAAGTATTTGTTTGAGTTTTACTATGTAAATAAAGCCTATTATCAGGGTCAGCACTTGGGAAGAAAACAGCCCCTCAGGAAAAGCCTTCCAAAAGGCCAGTGTCTTCACAAAGAAAAATTAACTTGAGCTTTAAAAGCTAAAAATCCTTTTAAAAACTCAGGTGCTGACACTGTTAATCAAACAAGGGCGATTTGGCCCACAGGTAACATCTGACAGTCTGGAGACTTTTGTTGGCTGTCACAGCTGGAGTGGGGGGTACCCGTGGCATCGAGTGAGGGGGGCCCAGGAATGCCTCTGAACAACCTACAAAGCCCACAACAGCCCCCACCACAGAGAGTGATGCAGACCAGCATATCAGGAGTGCCAAAGTCGAAAAATCCTTATCTGATGGATGTGACAAGTTATTTAATAGAACACTGCACGTGTTTCCAGGCGAACTGAGTAGAGGGGTTAATGCAGACATCTGGGATCCAGAGCTGGTCCTTGGGGGGCCTTCTCATGACCTGCCAGGTTTGTGACCTCAGGGCACGCCATTTAACTTCCCTTTGCCTTAGCTGTTTCATCTATAAAATGGGCTGATAAAATTTCTTGATCTGAAGATCACAGATTCAACCAGCCTTGTTCTTCGCATTCCTCACAGTTCTACAATGTGCACTCCTCTGAGGCTTTCAAATCAGACCCCTATTATCATAAAAAGAGTGTGTCACTTGTTCAAGCTACCCCCACATCAGATTCTGTTAAATAGAAAATGAGTTGTATAATACCCCAGGAGTCTTATATGTAAAATATTTAATTACGAGTTTTTTTAAAAGAAAAAAAAAAAGCCCTATTAGAACAATTATAACTTGGGCCCCAAATAACAATTGTTATAATGAGCCCCAAATAGTTTTCAGTAGCTACTGAGGGAGAGTCAAAACTTGGATTAATCCAAATTCTGCAGGGGGAACAATTTTTCCCAGCTCCACCACAACAGTGCAGTCCCACTCTTTAAGTGGTTCTAAATGGACACACTTTCCTTCATCCTTTTCTAATAATGTGACAGTTAATTACCAGCTGTTGGAGTGTAAGCAAACATAATTGATGACTTAACCCAAGAGAAAAGACAGGCATGTGAAATAGTGCCAATACCATGCAACACGTAGTTAAAAATACATAAATACGTGCGCAAGCATGCACCTCTGCGTGTATATACAAGTGTACCTGGAAACTCAGCACAGAAGTCCCAAACTCTCCTGAATCCTTTTTTTTTTTTTTTTTTTTTTTTAAGATTTTACTTATTTATTTGAGAGGGAGAGAGAGAAAGCGTGAGCGTGGGCGGGGAGAGGGAGAGGGAGAAGCAGGGAGCCCGATGCGGGGCTCGATCCCAGGACCCTGAGATCATGACCTGAGCCGAAGGCAGACGCTTAACAGACTGAGCCACCCAGGCGTCCCTCTTCTGAATTCTTCCTATCCTAAGTAAAGAAACCACCAATTTCCAGTCACATTGCAGCATCTATAAAAACTAAGCAGCAGTTTAAGGGAGGGATGTATGGGCCTCTCAGAGAAGAACCCCAAACATTTTTATTCCTGCAAAATCCTGAAACACCATCTGGAAAGGCGGAGTACGGTACACTGGTACTAGCCCACCCACAAAAACTTTCGAAAGAAAAACAAAACAAAACAGACCAAAAACACCTTAGCAAGTACTCTGCAAGCTAACCAGCAGGCCAAATCAGGAGCAAAGGGCCTCACATGCCCCAAAAAGGCCCTGGTGTGTGTTTTCTGGGTTTTACTGCCCACCTCCCAGTCTAGACTGGGGCCTCTTGGACAGAGAGAACAGGAGGCCACTAAGAATACACCAGGATTTTTAGAACCTGGAGTACCCATAGAAAGGAGGAGGTGCTCGGGGATCCCCTTCTCCAGCTTCTGGTTAAACAACTGAATCTGAGTTTAAAATGACCTCTAACTCTCTTACACTGTGTACAGCCAAAAGGCAAGATTTTACCTTAACTAATGTTTTGCAACTTATTCCTTCAATTACAGTAACAAGTCTGAGAAAGATACGTTGAATTGTGTGCACACCTCTTTTTTTAAGAGAAACACATGAAATGCTAAGGGTATTAGTAATTTACCTGCTATTTTTTTTAACTTTTACTGTCAGAAATGCCCTGTAAAACCTTTATTAAAAAGGCACAGGGTAACACGCTTTTGTACGCATACATGCAGGAAAGTACTCTTTCTGGGCAAGCCGTGTACACTTGGCTCACCATCTTTTCAAAGAACCTAGTTCGTTAATGGGTTACACATTAGATTTATAGCAACGACAGCCTCTTTCCCCAGTTGAACATAAATTCAGTGCCTATCTAAACAAGCCTCCCCTCAGAGTTTCTGGTTTTGTGAATACAAAAATGAGAGAAAATGCAGAACAGAAAAGTTTGGTGTCTTATTTGCTGTCTTGAATAACAAAGCCACACCACTTCCCAAATTCATCAGGGGCGGGTTGGGTTAGGAGTGACCTTATACCTTCCTGCTGTGGTGAAGCAGGAGAGTAGGAAAAAACCCAGCAAGTCACCTTCAAACTCTCGCAGTCGCCAAGAATTTTTACATTTTAAAGGGAACTTTGTCCCTAGGAAAAGCCTGACCCAACCCTCCCCAGAGAAACGGACACTTTTAACCAGAAGAAAACAGGATGAGAGGTTTGTTGTTTTGTGTTTCCACAGGTCTATACAAGTTCAGCTGGTCAATTTCAAGATCGATTGCTGTTTAGAGACAAGAGAATTCAAGGTGTGAAAGCACCCACCTTCCCTTACCACACACACTTAACGCAAAACACATTCCCGATGAGACACATTAGAAACTTATTGGAGCTCAAATCCCACTTTGAAAAAGGACACTGAAAGTTTCGGTACGTGTCTGCAGGTCCCAGAGCGCCACGGATCTAGAGCTGGAAGCCGAAAGTCAGTAAATATTGATGGGCTGATGGGAATCGAGAAGCGGGGCTGGCGACAGCTGCACGTCTGGGTTTCCTAGTGATAAGGGGTACAGGTTCAAGGGGTGCAGAACCAAAGGCCTTACAGTGACAAATACAGGTGGGGCAGTTCTGTCCACCCCCGGCACGTGGGACTGTTCCTCCCCAACCCCTGGGTAGCCCCACAGGTGCAGGCCGCCGCTGGCGAAGCCTGGAGTGACAGGGGACCCAGCCAGGCCCCTTCTCGAAGGGGGGAGGGGAGGGGACCCGGAACAGGAGCCATTTAAACCCTGCGCGGCGCTGGGAGTCAGCAGGGCTGGGAGCCAGCAGGGCTGGGAGCCGCCGCAGAGGGGCCGGAACCGCGCACCTTTGCGTGTCCCGGTGCCCCCGTCCCCGCAGGTGACCCAGGCAGACTAGCGCCCCCGGGTTGGGGACACGATTGGCCTGTCCCTCCGGCGTCCCCACCCCCGACCCGCGACCACCTTTGGGCTGTCACCGTGAGGGTCCCGCGGCCGCCTCACCTTGGTGATGACCAGCGGCTCGCCGTGCTCGCGGCCGCCCTTTAGGGTGAAGCCCCACGGGGCGCCGCCGCTCAGCTGCACCTCCACCAAGCGCCCGCCGTCGGGCGCCCGCGCCTCGGCCTCGGCCAGGCGCTCGGGCCGCGCGCGGGGCTCGGCACCCTCCATGGCGCGGAGCGCGGAGGCGGCGCGGCCGCTCAGCCCCCAGGGCCCGTCCGGCCCGCGCCCATGCACTCGGAGGAGCCCCGGCCGGCCGAGGGCGAGGGAAGGTCCCGGCGCTCCTGCCGCCGCCGCCGCCGCCGCCGGCCACTGGCGAACTTGCGCTGCAAGTTGGGAGGAAAGTGCCGGCCGGGGCCGGGGAGGGAGCCGGGCGCGGGCGGCGCGGCGCGCGGGGGAGGGCG